GCGAAGTGCCCCGCCCCTCCCTTTCTTCCTGGACCGCGCCTGGCGGCGCCTCCCCCACCTCCCACCCTGCATTCCACCCTGGACCTGAGCTCTGGGTTCCAAGTCCGGGTGTGGGACGACTACTACGTGCCAGCCGCTCTCTTTCGCTCCCTACCTGGCCCCCGCTGGCTGAGGGAACTTGGAAATTCCCTGGTCCTGCTCCCCAGCCTCCCAGATGGGAAACTGAGGCCTGGGAGCGGGCGGCGGGCCCCTCCTCACCAGCGTCTCCACACAGACGCCATGGCTGAACCCCTGAAGGAGGAAGAGGGCGACGACGGTTCTGGGGAGCCCCCCGGGCCGGTGAAGGCGGAACCCACCAACAACGCTGCCTGTGTAGCGGCCAAGAACCTGGCCCTGCTCAAAGCCCGCTCCTTCGATGTGACCTTCGACGTGGGGGACGAGTACGAGATCATCGAGACCATAGGCAACGGGGCCTATGGGGTGGTGTCCTCCGCGCGCCGCCGTCTCACGGGTGAGCTTCCCTGTTGTGCACCGCTTACAGATGTGGAAGCGGGCCCCAGAGAGTGAGAAACCTGCCCCGTCTCAGCCCGGAAGGAAAGCTGGGATCCAAATTCTGGATCAAGTCAGCAGATACCGGTTAGGTGCCTCCTGGATGCCGGGGTCTGTGTTGGGAAACTGCTGTGGTGGTTTTGCCTATTTCTTTAGAAGAGTGGCAATCTCAGACCAGAATGCAGATCCTGTCTTTGGTTTCTAAAAGTCTTTGGAGCCAGAGACTGGTGTAAGGAATTGGTGGTGGGATGGGTAAGGTCTGAGATGGAGAGAGTGTAGGGAGGTAGTTGAGCACAGGCATCAGAATCGAGCCTACCACTAACTCCAACAAGTTGCTGAGCCAGGTTTTCATCATTTTCAAGTTTGAGCCGTTGGTATCCATCTCAGGATAGATGTGAAGGGAAAATCTGATAACATCCATAAGGTGCTTAGTGCAGGCCTTGGCATGTAGTAGGTTCTCGCTCTTCAGTATATGGTAACAGCCTTCTAGAAGGAAGATGTTAAAAGGGGCCTTTTGCCAATCTGCAGCTACTCTAAGGTACCTCATGATATCTGCCTTTTCCCTGCTCCCCAGGCCAGCAGGTGGCCATTAAGAAGATCCCTAATGCTTTTGACGTGGTCACCAATGCCAAGCGGACCCTCAGGGAGCTGAAGATCCTCAAACACTTCAAGCACGACAACATCATCGCCATCAAGGACATCTTGAGGCCCACTGTGCCCTACGGGGAGTTCAAATCTGTGTAAGGAGCAGGGACGGAAGAGGAAGGCAGAGGTGGGATCTGAAGTTTTCGAAGGGCAACTGAACCTAATGTAAGGCAGGCTGGGAAAGTTCCCATTATTCCAGGACCAGTGTCCCTTAGGGCTTTGCTGGGGACAGCTGCAGTTGCTCAAGAAGAGTGCAGGTGGTTACCATTTTATAGAATCTTGGTAGGTAGGAAGACCAATATAAGATGTTTATACAGTAACTGCACTCTTCTATTCTCATAGCAGATATTGCTAGTCAATCATAGAGCATTTTCTTAAAAAAATGGGTAAGCCTTCACAGTCTTCAGAGTCTTTCAGGCAGCCATACCAAACAATGGAGATGCCTCCAAACTAAACTTATTGGCCAGCCCTGGTTTAGTCCAACCCCATCTTTTCTTTGATGGGGAAACTAGATCTAGAGAGAAGAGTGACTTAACTTCATGGAAACATTAGAGAAAATCTAGAATCTTTATACCATCCCATTGGCCCCTGCGGCATGTGAAGATGAGGCCATTACCTGTCGAGCCGGGAGGCTGTAGTGAGGCTGGAGTGTGGGCGAGGTAGCCATGCTTATCTTTCTTGTCCCCTCTAGCTATGTGGTCCTGGACCTGATGGAGAGTGACCTGCACCAGATCATCCACTCCTCCCAGCCACTCACTCTGGAGCACGTGCGCTACTTCCTGTATCAGCTGCTTCGGGGCCTCAAGTACATGCACTCGGCTCAGGTCATCCACCGCGACCTCAAGCCCTCCAACCTGTTGGTGAATGAGAATTGTGAGCTCAAGATTGGCGACTTTGGCATGGCCCGTGGCCTGTGCACCTCGCCTGCTGAACACCAGTACTTCATGACTGAGTATGTGGCCACACGCTGGTACCGTGCTCCTGAGCTCATGCTCTCACTGCACGAGTACACCCAGGCTATCGACCTGTGGTCTGTGGGCTGCATCTTTGGTGAGATGCTAGCCCGGCGCCAGCTCTTCCCAGGCAAAAATTATGTACACCAGCTGCAGCTGATCATGATGGTGCTGGGTACCCCATCGCCAGCTGTAATCCAGGCTGTGGGGGCTGAGAGAGTGCGGGCCTACATCCAGAGCCTGCCACCACGTCAGGCTGTGCCCTGGGAGACAGTGTATCCAGGTGCCGACCGCCAGGCCCTGTCACTGCTGGGACGCATGTTGCGTTTCGAGCCTAGCGCCCGCATCTCTGCAGCTGCTGCCCTTCGCCACCCCTTCCTGGCCAAGTACCATGACCCTGATGATGAGCCTGACTGTGCCCCACCTTTTGATTTTGCTTTTGACCGTGAAGCCCTCACTCGGGAGCGCATTAAAGAGGCTATAGTGGCGGAGATCGAGGACTTCCACGCACGACGTGAGGGCATCCGCCAACAGATCCGCTTCCAGCCTTCCCTGCAGCCTGTGGCCAGTGAGCCTGGCTGCCCTGATGTTGAGATGCCCAGTCCCTGGGCTCCCAGTGGGGACTGTGCCATGGAGTCACCTCCACCAGCTCCACCGCCGTGTCCTGGCCCTGCACCTGACACCATTGATCTGACCCTGCAACCACCCCTGCCAGCTAGTGAACCAGCCCCTCCGAAGAAGGAGGGTGCCATCTCAGACAACACCAAGGCAGCCCTCAAAGCTGCCCTGCTCAAGTCCTTGCGGAGCCGGCTCCGAGGTGCCTTGCGGAGGCAGCAGCTGGCCAGGGAGCGGGGTTGCAGAGGGGTACTCCCAGTTTGGACAGGCCGCAGACTCTTACCTTCTCCCTGCCAACTTCTCTGCAGATGGCCCCAGTGCTCCTCTGGAAGCTCCTGAGCCTCGAAAGCCCGTGACTGCCCAGGAGCGTCAGCGGGAGCGGGAGGAGAAACGGCGGAGGCGGCAAGAGCGAGCCAAGGAGCGGGAGAAGCGGCGGCAGGAGCGGGAACGCAAGGAGCGGGGGGCCGGGACCTCTGGGGGTCCCTCCACTGATCCCCTGGCTGGGCTGGTGCTCAGTGACAATGACCGCAGCCTGCTGGAGCGCTGGACTCGCATGGCCCGGCCTGCAGCCCCCACAGCAGCCCCAGCCCCAACCCCAGCCCATGCCCCAGTCCTAGCACCCACCCCAGCTCAGCCCAGCAGTCCTCCTGCTGCCCCCCCACCAAAACCTGCAGGCTCCCCCACTGGTCCTGTACCGCAGCCTGCTTGCCCAGCCCCAGGGCCTGCTCCTCACCCCGTCAGCCCTCCGGGGCCTGCCCCTGGCCCAGCTCCACTCCAGACTGCTACCCCTAGCCTCCTGGCTCCCCCTGCGCTTGTGCCACCGTCTGGGCTGCCTGGCCCCGGTGCCGTAGCTGTGCTGCCTTACTTCCCATCTGGCCCGCCCCCTCCAGAGCCCGGAGGGGCCCCTCAGCCCTCCACCTCAGAATCCCCCGACGTCAACCTGGTCACTCAGCAGCTGTCCAAGTCACAGGTGAGAGGCTGTGGAGACACCTGGATCTGGGCCCAGGGAAAATGGGTTTGAGAAGTCCTTGCTGTTTGGTGGGGGCGGGGGGACAGGAGAGGCTTCAGTGTACCTTTATTCCATGAAAACTGAGTGGCAAATGGGGTTTTATCCCTGAACTTGTCATCTTGCTCTTAGAAGGAGCTTAATGCCAATGAACCGGTTGGGAGACGACTAAGATGCTTCCTAAGTTATGCCTGGCCTGCAGACAGGCCCTTGACCGGCACTCAGCAATTGTCCAGGCTGGTGCTGTTCCCAGCGGCTGTCCAGGCAGAGTCACTGGCAGGGTCGGGACAGAGCTGCGGGATAACCTCTGTCTGCTCTTGATACTGCCTGTGTTGTAACCTGCCGTCGCCCGTTGCAGGTGGAGGACCCCTTGCCCCCAGTCTTCTCGGGCACTCCAAAGGGCAGTGGGGCCGGCTATGGTGTTGGCTTTGACCTGGAGGAATTCCTAAACCAGTCTTTTGACATGGGAGTGGCTGACGGGCCACAGGATGGGTAAGATGGCTGGACCAAGCTTCTGGAATGGGCCTGTGGGTAGGGTTTCCTGGTGCAGGAGGAGCTTGCCTGTGGGATGGGCAAGGAGCCAGCCTAGGCTAACAGGGCCTCTCCCCTCCGCTCTCCCTGCTTCCCTTTTTCCTGCAGCCAGGCAGACTCAGCCTCACTCTCGGCTTCCCTGCTTGCTGACTGGCTGGAGGGCCACGGCATGAACCCTGCTGACATTGAGTCCCTGCAGCGTGAGATCCAGATGGATTCCCCGATGCTGCTGGCTGACCTGCCGGACCTCCAGGAGCCCTGAGGTCCACAGCCTGTGCCTTGCTGCCCGGGGCGGACCCAGCTACAAGACTCATTTCCAAGAGCTGGAGCCTTGGGCCCAGCAGTGGAAGCTCAGCTTCGATTATTCTGCAGGTTCATCTCAGACACACTCTGCAGCCTTAAGCAGCCACCTGAGCCACCGCCAAGCCATGGCAGGATCAGGAAACCTCTACTCCCTGAGTGATCCTTTTCAGTATTGTATTTTTATTATAATTATTATTATTATATTAATATTGTGATGCAGTCTTTTTGCCATCAAAATGAGGCCTGTGAAATATAAGGTTCCCTTTAGGGCCTAACTCTAGGTGTCTTTTTAGAGTTGAGGTCAGGGTGTTGTCAGTAGGGGAGCAAGGAGGAGCCAGGTTCTTGTATTGGAGACCCAAGCAAACACAATTGCATGCACGACAGACAGCCAAAGCCAGTTCATTCAGATCCTGAGCTTTATTGAGATCTTCACTCCCCACCTGCTTACAGCCCCTCAGAGATTGTCCTCTGCCCACCCCCTACCCCCCCACCATGGTCAGACCTCAACTCTAGGTCCTGGTGGGGGGACCTGGTATCTATGCCTACCTTGACTGTAGCTGTTTTAGAGTGGCGTGCAGTAGCTGTGGTGACATACAGTTTTAGCATTGAGCTTTGGGGGGCTGGGACAGGTGGGTGGGAGCAGCAGAGTAGGGCCATAAGATGGGGGTGGGGGGTCCATGGTGCTCCCCACTAGGGAATGAGTTGTGGGAGGGAGGCCAAGGGTGGGGAGATGCTCTGAGGACAGTGGGGGGCATGCTGGGGTGTGGCAGCGATGGCCACGCATGGGTGGCCTGGCATCCACGACGCCAGCTCAGTCTAGCATACTGGGGGGGCCCCAGTTGGAGGAGTCCACAGCAAGGAAGCTCACCAAGGTGGTACACAAAAGCCATAGCTTTGGAGTATAGCTCCCAGCTCTCCACCTTTGGGGGAGGGCAGAGGCAAGCTAGAGTCTTGTGGAGCCCGGTCGGGTCCAGGGGGGAATGCCGTGCCTTTCCGAGGGGCCCCAGGAGAGCTGCTGGCCCCATAGCTATAGGTGAGGTGCGGAAGGCCTGGCTTTGAGATGGACACCCTGGGTGTGACAGGACCCGCTGGGGCTAGAACCACAAGGCCCCCACCATGGGAAGCAGGTGCTAAGAGAGCAGCGGGCAGGGGTGGGGTGGGGTGCAGAGGGGGCCCTTGTGGAGACCAGGAGCAGCCAGGGGAGGCTCAGGGCCTGATGGGGGCCAGCCCCTCAGGCCCGGCGGATTTTCATCTCGGTGCGCTTGAGGGAGTAGTAGAAGCCCTTCCACTGGGCCCAGTTGATGCCATTAGCATAGGAGAGGTGGGAGCCACCCAGGTAGAAGCCGTTGAGGTTGGCAAAGTGGCAGCTGCGGAACCAGAAGGCTCCCGAGGAGAGGGCCGCGCAGTTCTGCACAAAGAGGTCCTGGTCCCGGTCGAAGGTGGAGAACTTCTGGCCGCTGTGGTAGGACAGGGAGTCGCCTGGCAGAGGGGTGGAGGGATGGGGCTGCTGAGTCAGGGAGCCAGCCCCAAGCTGGCGTCAGGTGGGGGGCGGGTGGAGTGTGACAAGAGTGACGCTGTGAGAGGCATCACGTGGCAGCCTGGCAGGATGGGGCTCCCTCCCCAAGCTGGCTTTTGCATGAAGAGAAGCAGCTGCTCCTCACAGGGCTCCCTGGAGTGAGTGGACACGGCTTCTCCCAGGGCCCAGGTCCAACCTGGGTGGGAGCCAGCACGATCCTTCAGGGACTCGAGGGGGAAGGAAGGGGTCTGGGGCCCAGCGGGCAGTGCCAGCCCTGACTTCTCTCCCGATGGCCGCTGGTGAGGCAGGCAGCAGGGGATACCTGCCCCGCCGTCCTCGAAGCCTGCCACGTAAAGGGTGTAGCCATCCTCCTCGGCACTGACCGCGTTGGGCGAGATAGAGAATTCGGCGTACTTGGCGGAGGCCGTGTTGTTCTCAAAGTCCTCCAGGTCCACTCGCAGCTCGTACTTCTGCTTCAGCGTCAGGAGGTGCAGGTTCTGCAGCCCTGGGGGTGTGGGGGTGTGGGTAGAGGGCACCTGGTTAGCAGAGCCTTGGCTCTTGGCTCAGGGCAGCTCCCAGCCCATGGGTGTCCCCTGCCCCCTCCTTACCCAGCCAGTACTCCCCGTCGGCACGGCCGAAGCCCAGCTTGTAGTCGTTCCAGCCCCGGAAGAAACTCACTGAGCCATTGAATCTCTTCTGGAAAACCTGGAGCAGAGGACAGGCCTGGACCATCAAGAGTCCCAGGGGCGGGAGCCTCACCCAGGCATGGACCTGGTGATGCTGAGGGTGTTTTGGTAAAAGACTGAGCTGGGCCCCGAAACAAGGCACACGCTGGCCCCAGGCCCCTCAGTGAGCAGCTCCTGGGTGCCAGGCGCAAAGGTGAAGGGAGGAGTTGTTTTAGAGTCAGGCTCCTGGTAGTCAGTCCCGGCGGGGGCTGTGTGACCTTGGGCAAGTTATTCACCTCTCTGGGTTTCAGTTCCTCTGTACAGGGTCCCCGTCTCCCAGAACCATTGCAAGGATATAGGCACTAACCTGCCTCAGGCACCTAGAATTCAGTGTTGGCAGCAGCTCCACGCTATGCTGTGGCTATTATGAGCTCCATTTTAGAGATGGAAAAACTGAAGTGCACGGAGGTTAAGCCTAGGCGCACGGCCAGGACCAGGACCAGGCCTCTGTTCCCCCGACCCACTCACCGTCCACTTTCCGCCCGCAGTGGTCATGTCACAGAAGACCGGCACGGGCACGCTGGGGCCCGAGGGGTAGATGAGGTACACACCGTCCACCTGGTACCCTTGCGCGTAGACGTCATCACAGTCCAGGGGCTGCGGAAGGCAAGGCTTCTCCAGAGCTGGGGGCAGGGGCAGGGAGGGTGAGGGGAGGGGGACCAAGGCGCAGCCGGCCCCTCAGCACCCTGCAGTTTGCCTCCGTCCCTAGGGTCACCAGAAATCAAGATCTCCTTTGGGGTGTGGGGGAGGATGCTCTTAGATCATCACCTGCCCCGGGGTGGAGGAGAGATGGCCTCCTGCAGGGCTCAGCCCTGAGGCTGGACTCCCAGAAATGATGGTTCCCAGGAACCTCTCCTCCCCCAACCTGCTGGCTGGGCCGCTTACCGTCTCCCCGGATTCCGGAGATCTGGGGGGCACAGGGAGGCGTGCAGAGAAGCAGCAGCGGCAGGGTCAGGAGAACCTGGGACAGGACGACAGGGTCACCTACTGCAGCCCCCCTCGTGCCTCCTCCAGCCCTAGAGCCCCTGGTGCACTCTGCACTTGGCCCTCAGGTAAACTGCCCCCTGCTGGGAACCCCTTGCCTGCCCTTTGGCCCCTCTTTCCCCCCCTCTTCCCATGCCTGAGAAGCCTGAGAAACTGGTCTCTGGGACAGGCTGGAGCCCCCCTGGCTTCAGAGTTTCTAGTGGATCGCTTCCCAGCACCGTATCTGGTGCGGGTCCTCTTCCCCCAGCGGCTCAGGCCCACGGTGCCCAGAGTCCCCAGCCCCAGTACCTTCATGCTGCCAGTTCAGCTCGGAGCGGCTGGGTGTCTGCTGCCCCAGACTGCGCCCCAGACTGCACCCGCCCACAGTTATGTGCTGGGCCCTGGCCAGGCGCCCCGGCCCCACCCCCTGGAGCTGCAGAGCCCCCCTCTCCCCTTCCCGGCACCAGCATCTGCTTCCACGGTCAGGGGAGCCAAGGGGGCCTGGGGAGGTGGGGCCGGGCCTAGGGGCCACCTGCGTCTCATTAGGTTTGTCGGGGGCAGGGCAGTGGGGATCTCACTCCCCACTGAGTCACACTGCTCCCTGGGGCGCCTCTACACCCACCACCTGGACCTGTGCAACCCTTGGCACCCCCAACCCAGCCCCTACTTCCTGATCCACCCCCCAACCTCCCGCCCTACAGATGTCTGTTTATTTTCTCCTTCCCTGGCCTGTGTTTCATCAGTCTTTGGGGGAAAGCTAAGGAGTGGTGGGGAGGGTTCTTGGGAGGGGAGGCCTGTTCTGGGGGCGCAGAAGGCTGGGGAGGCAGCTTCAGAGCTCCTGATGTGGGAGCCTGTCTGGGGCTGGAGGGGGTTAGGGGCAGCGGGGGCCAGGCAGTCTCCTGGCAAGGCTGGGACATTTCTGAGCCATGAGCGCAGCCTGCAGGCGTCCAAGTGCTGTCTGCCCCAGCTCGAGCCAGGGCCTTCTCCAGCCCCCTTCCAGCCCCCCTGGCTCTGGCCGCCGGAGGCCCCCTTCCCCCTCCCACAGAGTTCCCCAGTGATGTGTCTGCCTCACACACGGAGCTTGGGGCCTCTCCTTTCTCTCCACCTTTCCCTCCCCCTTCCCTCAACCTCTGCACTTTGGCCTCCATCCCACCTCAGACTCCCTCCTAGATCCTCATAAGTAGTGTCCTGTCTTAGCCCAGAAAGCTCTCCCTTGCCTCCTGCCCTCACTGAGCCAGGGGTGCCTCCCAGCCTGCCCTGAGGCCCCACTGTCCCTATCTCCACCTGGGTTCCAGGCCTCCTCCGAGCCTTCTCGGGGTGCTCGCTGCCCACAGCCCCTTCATGGATGTCTTTGCTTCTGTTCTCTCCCCTCTACCCCCCATCCTCTGCACAGGCTGCCAGGACAGTCTTTCTAGAAGGCCGTCTGTCACCACCTGCTCGCAGCCTCTGGTGGCTCCCTTCGGCCTCCGGGCTGAGGCTCCGGTTCTCACCCTGGGACTTGAGAGGAATTTTAGGTCTGGCTTAGGCCTACCTTAAGGACCTGATCCCAGACTGCTTGTTACTCGAAGTACAATCTAAACACCAAATTCCTTGCTGTGGAGCCCCCACTACCCCCACCCCCACCCACCCCACTGCCCTTGGCTCAATTGTTCCCCGAGGGCCCACCTGCGGGTCTACTCTGCTTGGCCATGAGTGCAGATGGGCAGGGTCAGTGTCATTCCTGCATGCTTCGCACACCTCCCAGAGCCCGGCACGGGCACTGATACCCAGATCAAATGTCTTCTGAGCACCAACTCTGTGCTGGCTGCTGGGGATACAGCTCCTAAGGAGCGGCAGACGCAGGTGTTACTGGATTGCAAACGTGACGTGTATTGTGCAAGCTCCTCTGTGGAATGGATGCACCAATGCAGAGCCCAGCAAATAGTGGCCCTGGCTCAGGTTCCCTCTCCTCAGTCCTAAGTCAGCAAGCCCCTTGGATGAGTCCAGGCAGCTTCCTTGGCTTGATTCTATAATCCCTGGTAAGAGTTTGCCTCCATCGTCGCATCACGTCCTGGGGATGCTGGAGCTGGGTTGCCAGCATCCCCATCCAGGCTGTCCCACCTGTTAGCTAGGGGCCTCGGACAAGTTATCGCTCTGTGCCTCAGTTTCCTCCTCTGTAAAATGAGGATGGTAATAGCATCTCCTCCAAAGGGCTGTGATAAGGATGCAGGACTGCCTAACGAGTGCCTACATAAGCAACAACACACAGCTATGCCTACAATCAGTAACTAATAAATATGAGCTATCTCATCGTCAGGAGCCTCGTGATCGTTCTTACATGAATGGATTGTCTTCGATGTGATTCTTATCCTTGTCTGTGGAAGAGTTAGTTGCCTGCCTCTCAATATCCAATCTCTCTCAGTCCTAAGTGGTAATAAGGCTGATTGTCCAGCCTCCATTGGTGGGACCACAGGTCCAATTTTTGGCCACGAAGCTGCAAACAGAAGTTTTGTAAAGGCAGGGAGCTATTCCATCTTCTTCCTGCTGTTTGTACTGTTGCCGGGCATGATGGCTGGAGTTCCAGCTGCCATCATGAAAAGTGAGGGTTAGGGCCCCACCAAGAGACAGTAGGTGAGCGCCCCTGGCTGGCTCGGTTGGTAGAGCATCTGAGTCTTAAGCTCAGGGTTGTGAGTTCAAGCTCCATGTTGGGAGTAGAGGTCACTCAGAAAAAGACAAAGGTGGTGGAGGGTAATCAGGGAGGAGCTGGGTGCCTCGGGACTTCGTGGAGCAGGTCCAAGGCCAAGCTCTGGACAGCCCTTCCCTAGGCCCCACTTACGTAGAAGAAAAAGAAACTTTCATCTAGCTTAAGCCTCTGTTGTTTGTTCCCGGCTATGCACAGCTGAATCTAATCCTAATACATCTCTCCTTTCAGCAAATGCCAGCTAATTTTAGCACTGGCTACAAATAAGAAAATGATGAAAAATCAGTCATCAAAACAAATAATAAAATGTGTAGAATACAGCTAATAAACAAATGCAGGGACACAAAAAAATAAGCAATGAGGTTTCAATCATATTTTGCCTCTTAGTTGCACTTTTTTTTCCTCTTTTTTCCCGACCCCACAAGCAGGTATGTAGGTGTGGCAAAGTAGGCACTCTGTTTGCTGAATGTTTTCTCTTAGTTTAACTCTTCAGGGAAAAAGGTTTGGTGCCACAGCCTAAGAGTCAGCAACACCTCTGTGAAGATGCTGTCTGAAGGAAATACTCTGATATAGTAAAAAACAAACATATATTTAGTTAGCAGGCATGTTTGTTGGCTGCCTGTGGTGGGAACCTTCCCATGTTTGGGCGTCCCCCCAACTGGAATGCAGGTGCTCGCTCTTCCAGGCCTGCTTACAGGTCTGTTGTAAGCACGTGACCTTGGAGTAGCCAATCAAATGCATTACCTTGGGCTTCATTTGGGGAGATACTGATTTAAGAGGCAGGAGGATGAAGAATTCACTCTTGGGATGGTAGTGACCCCGGAGGCCTCTGGCTTCTAGGTTCTCTGACTGGTTGGTGGTGACTTAGCAAGCACAGTGCTGAGTCATAGTGGCTCTGGCTTGGGCTGCAAAGCCCTCAGCTTGGTTCTTCACTCTTGGCAACCGCCTTTCTCTGCCCATGATCTCTGAAAAAGACCCCCCCAGCACACCAACTCTGACCAACTTTGTCGAGACTTTCAGGGCCTGTGAGTTGAGGAGAACTAGCTTGACTGGGGGCAGGTGGGAGCTGAGGCTGCGCCAAGGCTCTGGGAGGCAGGTGGTCCTCAGTGGTGGTCTCGTCATGGCGACAGTGTGTCAGGATGATGTTACTCACTGGACAGGCCATGTCTTTGCTTGAGAGCCAGATTCCAGGAGGAGGAGCATCCGACCCCCTGGCCTTGCTTGGGTCACTTGCCTACCCACTTGGCATTTGCCTTGCTACTCCACCTTTCTCTGTCCTGCTTTAGTGGTGATGCCCCGGGCATCACTGTGTTCCCATGGCCCCTGGCCTCTGGCTGGATTTGGCCAACAGGCGGAATCAAGAGGAGGTGGAAGAAGAGAGAGGTTGGGGTGTTTCTCCCTGGCTCCTGTCATTCCCAGGACCACAGTTTCAGCAAAGGCTGTGCCTGCCTCCCCACCAACAATGACAGCTCCTGCTATAACCCGCTTCACTGGCCCAATACCTCCATTTCCTCCCCTTACCCCTGCAGCCTGGGATGGTAAGCCCCTCACCCACCCATCACTAGTCCCAGGGTGCTCCAGCACCCCATGCTGGCTTCCTAAATGCCCACACCCACGTAAGTAGTCCCTTCATTAAATTCCCTTAAAAATGAGACAAAACAGCCGAGTCTGCCTTTGTTTCTTGCCAGGACCCCGGTTTCCCCAAGGACTCATTTGGTTTTGCTCTATAAGCCCAGCAGCCAGTGGGGTATCTGAGGCAACAGCTAAAGGCAAGGCCCCCACACTGTCTCTGCAGGTGCTGGGGTAGAGGCTGTTGGGAAGAGGGCAGGGTGTGTGGGGCCATTGGCCCAGGAACGATGTGTCCCTTGAGCACCTAGTAGGATACGTTGGGCACCCTTTAATCCCTATATGGGCAGCAGGGAGCAGACACAGCCCTCTTGGAGCTAGAGAGGGAAGACAATAAGTGAAATGATGACAAGTAGTAAGAAAGAAAGCAAGGGTGGGGGCAGGGGCTGGGGTGGGCAAGAAGGCCATAGTGAGAAGGGGTGATGGCTGGCTTGGGGTCCACAGTCCAGCATGAGCTCTCACTTCCCTCACTCCCCATATTTTCCTTCCTTGTAAAGGGCAAAATTAAGAGGGATTTGTGCCTGTCCCCACTTTTTTTGGTAGTTTAGGGCAAGTTCAGTGGATGGAGCTCAGAGCATGGCCAAGAGAAACAGCAGGTTGGAGATGAGAAGGGTATTGAATGCCAGGCTAAGACATTTGAAGCTGACCTTGAGACCCTGAGGTCTTTGGAGTCAGGATATGTTCAGATACGATCTTCTCTTCCATTTCTTGTTTACCGCCTGGGATTTGTGTAACTTTGGGTGCTTGATTTTATTTTGATGTGTGAGAGGCGTGCATGCAGGATCCCAGGCAAGAAGCACACAGATAAAAGGTTGGTTTTTGTTTTTTTAAATAAATGAATGCATGCACATAGTTGGGGAGAAAAAGGCTGAAAAGCCCTTTATTGCAAAACAGCAGTCCCCACCCTGGTGTTTGAGTCCTGGGGGTGGGTCTTTTCCATTTCATTATGTGGCCACTTGGGGGCCCTTCCACACTGGAGGCTGTGTCCTCATTTTAAGAATGTGCTGCTCTATTACCTCTTCTTTAACTGCTTTCTTCTTCTCCATGTTCTTTGTTCTTGCTCTCCCTTTT